TTAAATTAATTCCTTACAGATGAGCCTTTCACTCCAATGGCTACTTTATTACTGCGAAATGTTGATTAAATGCTGCCACATGCACCTAAAGACTCTTCCCCAGAACCACCACCACACTTTCCTTCTGGGCTTTCCTGATGCCATTCTCCCTCCAGTTTCACCATGTTGACTTCCAGCAGGGCACACACAGCTCTAGAAAGCAGGAGCTGCTTGGTGCTTTCTCTCTCACTAGAGCAAACACGAAGGCTCCAAGATGACTGGACAGGGATGGTGTCATTCCATCCTTCTCTTTAAGGAGCGCTACAGGACTTGCCACCCTGATACTAAGCAGACTCCATTAGGGGCAGTTCCTCTCTATTCTAAGCTTGTATTCCTCTTGAGTTTTAGGATGAACACTCTGGAAAATGGTCACTGTCCCATGGTGAAACCGCTGAACTCTGTGGTTCTCTAAAGCATCCCTCTGCAGCACCATGAAGGAGTCCGCCCAGTAGACAATGAGAAGACACCGATGTACTCCAGGCCATCTGAATATCCGGCTCTTTGTACTTGCATGACACAAAACACAGGAGCCAGGAGCAAATAAACCACAATCTATGTGCATGAAAATACTCCAAACAGCTGGGGTGTCAGTCCCCATAATAATAAAAGCTTGAGCTCCTGGGAATCCTTTACTTGGACAGATTATGGTAATCTATGCATCATTGATTAGTCAATTTTCAATGATCATCACCAAACAAGGAAGTAATGAATTTCTAGGAGCCACCGTACTTGCAGTACCTCAAAAGCTGTCATCTTCTCTCACTGTTCTCTCTACATCACTGGCACCAGCCTGATCTGGCTTTTTCTGATCATCTGCATATTCGTTAGACCAGATCAAAAATACTATCCTCTGGGCCGGCCCGGTGGCGCACTCAGGTAGAGTGCGGTGCTTGGGAGCGTGGCGGCGCTCCGGCCGAGGGTTCGGATCCCACATGAAGACCGGTCCACTCACTGGTTGAGCGCGGTGTGGGTGCGACACTGAGGGTTGCGATCCTGTTGCCGATCGCGGTACGGGCGCGACACCGAGGGTTGCGATCCCGTTACCGGTCACAAAAAAAGACAAAAAAAAAGGAAAAAAAAAAATACTATCCTCTCCACCAAAACCCTCAAAAACAAAGTTACATTTACTTAAAATTGGTTTAACTTAAGTGAGGAAGTCAGCAGATACCAGAAGATCTTATAATCAGAAGATAGAAACACAAAATTATCAGAACTAAAACATTTTGTGAACATCACAGTAAAATAGTCTTGTGTTACAGCCCCACCAATGTGTTGTTTTATACATCAACATACAGTGCTATGTCCTCCCATTTTGATCAGTTTTTACTAGTAAAAACTACAGAGTTGGAAAAAGCTGGGGACTTCCAGCACCAGCATTAACAATCACTGAAAGGAGAGACTCTTCAAGCACAAGGAAGAATGGCAATCTCAAGTTGCATTTTCATTAAGTACCTTCCAGGATTACCCTGGACACTGATTAAATCAATGTCTCATGAGCAGGGGAATGATTATTTTAAGTGAATTTATTCCTTCCAGGCCACCCAGATTAAACGACTATTGTGTTATTACAAAACCATCGCTTCACTATTTACTTTAGCTCTACAGTGTACTATAGAGATATTTCTTTTATTCTCCACTATTAGACATAATGAAGCCTTAAGGCTATCAGGTCACAATAGCTACTGTTCTCTTCAAAATGCTAAAACAACGTCCTCAAAAATGCCCAAGTTTTTGGTTCTCCAGGAGCAAAAGAAGAGAATCATTTAGGTCACCTAGGTGAGTTGGGAAACTGATCTCAAGTAGTAGAACATTTTTCTGTTTGTAGTAAGACACCCAAATCAGATTTTGTACACCAGGCTTTTTTAAATGTTAAGGAGAATATTAACCTCCCCTGAAGTGTAAGAGGAATTTATAACAAAAGCTAAAATATGATTAATCTAGGGCAGAGAAAGCTGAGTCAGGTTGAACCAGCCCAAGTTTAAGTCTAAAAAAGCTACTGAAAGATAATGAACTTAACATGCATCTTTGTCTAGATTGTACGACTTTTCACAGTCTTAGTAACATTATTTTATTAGGTAACAAAATACAATACCTAGTTTTTGAGCTCTGCATGTTTAAGGTGTGCAGAGCACAGCAGTAACAAAAGTCTCTTGAAAGTGTTCCCTACGTGTTAATAATGATCACAGACATCTTTGGACATTTTTCCTCTTTAATTTCCTTTAAATGTGCAAAATGATCCTGAGAAGCTGGAACCATGATGGGGAGTCCAGAATTAGGCCAGCTCAGTCCTAAACCAACTAGAGCCACCAGAGTCAAAGGAAGAATATTGCAGAATATTCTGGTCTGGGATCATCTGGCCTTAGATGCATATTATCCTTATTTTGCAAAACACTACCAGGCTGTATTCATCACAGGAGGAAAGTAAGAATTCCTCTTGCTCTTGGCAGGATCATTCTGTTGTGTGAAATCTCTCCCAAATCGTAGGTCCAAAGGGAGGCCTTGCATCTGACTTGTTAAAATGAGCAGGACTGAAGCCATGTTGGGGCCTAAAACCACATGGGCTATATAGGCAGATTTTAAAAATGCACATTTTTTTTTCCCCTTGGCATGCATTTCTCTGAGTTCCTTTTCCCATGGTTATTTGATATTTTGGACCTTGGTTATGGGGCAAGATGATATTTACATGAATGTAAAGTTGTTTGCCAGCCAGCCTGCAACTGCAGACACATGTACTACCCAGACCCTGAGATAAGGATGGGAGCAGAGAGACCAGATGAGGGGTGACACCTTGTACCTGACTCACAGACCCCTTGCTGTTCATGTGCCCCTCCCTCCTGCTTTTCACTTCCCACGCTCCATTCCCTCAGTCCCCTCAATATACCTCAGTCTTTGAGATGGCTTTAGCCTGGCCATTCTACAGGTTTCCAGGAGAGGTGGGTTAACCCAACATCTCAGGTCACTGTGTTCCTGGATAAAAGCTGACTTCCGTTTCCACCAACATTTGACTTTTGTTTGTTTGATTTTTGCCTGGGGGCAGGCAGCTGGACCCCCATGAGTTTGGTATCAATTTGGAGGAGCCTCATCCAGGAGCCAAGTGTGCCCTGTAACAACCTCACCATGTATACATATCTCTTATACGTTTTTCAGCCACAGAAACTACACATGTTCATCAGCTCCACGAAGGCAGGGACTGTCTCTTCCTCATCTTCATATGCCCTTACACACAAGTGTACAGTCATTGCTCACTGAACTGGAAACTAGGCAAGCCTCCAACCTGAACAGTGATCCTGAAGCTGGGCTTCAGGAGAGAACCTGAGAAAGGTAGCCAAAAAAAGAAAAATTCTTTTACTCTCGACATTCAAAGACACAAAGGGCCACCCTGAGGTCGTTATTCCTATTTTTCGTTTGCATGAACAGTACTTTTGTTTTACTGATCCTAACTAGGGCATTATAAAACAAATTCAAAATACTACCTTCTAAATTAACTATATTAATGTGCAACAAAATTTGTAAGAGCTATTTAAGACAGTCAATATTTACTGCAATCTTAGAGGCTTAAAGGAGTTTTTTGTTGTCTAGGTAAAAGGCCTCACTGCTTCTCCTAGCCCAGTGTCCTTGGGAATGACGCTATCCCTGAGCTTCAATTTCCTTAGGGACAATTATACCTTGCCTTCAGGTAGTTGTATCTCCCAACAGTCAAAAGCTAAATGATGTGAATTGTACAAGAAGTGGAAAAAAGCCTTAATGGCTACCCCATCCGATCACTGGCCTAGTGAATCTTGTGTGAATGGTGGTAGTGGGGGACAGCATGGGAAGACAGACACATGGATAGTACAGAAAATGAGGAAAAGTCCTATCAGTGGGCCAACCCTGTGCCACAAGAGAGGAAAGGTGGTCCCACCCAGGAGTTGAAAGCTAAAGTAAGTCAGTCTTCTATGCCCAACGAGCCCATTAATCCTTACAAATACTCTGTACTCTGTAAATAGGTATTATTTCATGTTACTAATGAGGAAACAGGGTTCAGAAAATAAAAGTCTAAAGGTACCTTTCACAACCTAGAAAATGTTGAGAGCAACCATTCCTAATTTTGTTTTCTATTAAATCTTGCACATGTTACTAATGAGGAAACAGGGTTCAGAAAATAAAAGTCTAAAGGTACCTTTCACAACCTGGAAAATGTTGAGAGCAACCATTCCTAATTTTGTTTTCTATTAAATCTTGCACACACACAGACACATAAACACACAGTCTAACATCTGGTAAAAAGGCAGTTCTTGTATTTTAAGGACATGCACTGGGAACTAAACTGGAAAGGAGTGCATCTTTGAGAACTCACAATGTATAAAGGGCCTACCTTAACTTTTTAAATTAATATTTTAGTGCTTAGAAAAAGAACACTAGACCTTGTTCCCACATACAACAGTAATTCTTGCAATATTGTTTAGCCAGTAATTTTAACTTTGAACAAGAACAATTAAAAAATACATACTTTAGGAAGAGCAAGAAAACCACTTAAACACATTGCAGAATAATCTTCCAGCCTTGATGTTCCCTCCTTTTGTCCCTCGCCCACCACATTCATGAACGGGTTTTCCCCCCAATATTTGCTCTCACTCGGCTATGCAAACAGAATTTTCATGACTGTTCTCCATTCTGCCGTGTACTGCCATTTACAATGACGTGAATGGCCTTGGATCATTTTTTTCTTCTCTAGTTCTCTGCCAGTCAATAGTCTATCAACCAATACACACATATTTATCTAGACTTCTGGGAACACACAGGAGGCTCTTCATTCCAGGTCACTGAGAGTACATTGCGAATCTACAGTCAACCATTCAAGCTCCAGCATCCAAAGATAACAGAATATTCACATGTTCTGGTACTTGAAAATGAAAATGAGAATTCTAAGCTGTTATCACTGAGGAAAACCACCAAAATAAATAGCATGGAGCCAGAAAACATGGAGAGAAGCAGATGGTTTTATTATGGTGCAGGAGACAAGGAGCATCCATAAAAAGCTCTTAAAGTGGATTCCTGACTTACGTTTTTCATCATTAGCATGAACCAGAGACGCTGCCCTTGACAAAACATCCAACGGTGTCTCCATTCCTGCTTGGAGCCTAAATGGAAAAAATAGAGGAAAGAATTTAAATAGAACTTGAAAGACTTTTTTGGAATTCTAGTAGTTAACAGAATGATTCCTCCACCAAATGCAAATCATTCTTCAGAGAAGATGGGAAATTCTTCCCATCTGACGAAACGGAATGGACTTGGTTCAGGAATAAGGGTTCCATTCCATTCTGTCTACTAAGATGAACTTTGCCAACTCCAGGAAGCAGCTCATGTCCAAACTAAAAGAAGGGATAGTGTGAGTATTCATGCCCATGTTATTAGGTGCTTATAAATGTTTATGTGCGTGCATAATATGCCTGCACAGACATACCTAATAAAAAATGTTTTCTGAACAAAGACTGCTCTATATACAAAGCATTACCACCAGCATGAGATTTTTGTTGTGGTAGTGGTAGTTGTTGGTGGTGGTTTATTAGTTTTAACAGAAATTACTAAAATTGAACCATTTTGTTTTCCCCTCCTTAGCTGAGAAGTTATCACAGTTTCATCAGCAGTAGAGAGGGACTCTGCCTGCCCATGCAGGTGTAGCTTACTGTATGCAACATACTCACGAAAAGCTGGCTGGTAATTCCACTGGTGAGTTACACAGTATTGTAAGTCCAATAGGAATCTTTATTCTAAAATGTCATAGTTTGTAATATACTATACTGTTACCACCTATCATCAGTTTATCTAGTGCCATGTTTTCTATAAGACTGGATTTTTGTTTTTCACCGTTTCATTAAATTACAGCATACCTATAAAAGCAAAAACTGCAACAAAAGATTTAAAGTTGGAGGAAAAGTCTAGAAAACTAGGCTGTTTTGCCCAGTTTCCCTTTTCTTGATTGTTTAAATACATGTACACGATTACAGTAATGTGTGCCACATTATGACATTTCAGTCAACAACAGACCACATGTACCATGATGGTTCCGTAAGATTATAACAGGGCTGGCCAGTCAGCTCAGTTGGTTAGAGTACAGTGCTGTTAAGACCAAGGTCTGGGATTCAACCCCTATGCCAGACAGCCACCAAAAAAAAAAAAAGATTATAAGAGAGCTGAAATCCTATCACCAAATGATGTCATATCTATCTTAACATCGTACTGCAATTACTTATTTTTTAAACAAATTTAGTGTAGCCTAAGTATGTAGTGTATATAAAGTCTACAGTAGTGCACAGTAGTGTCCTATGCCTTCCTATTCACTCACCTCTCACTGACTCACCAGAGCAACTTCCAGTCCTGCAAGCTCCATTCATGGTAAGTGCCCTATACACATGTACATTTTTATCTTTTATACTGTATTTTTACTATATCTTCTCTATGTTTAGATATGATTAGATCCACAAATACACTGTGTTACAATTGCCTACAGTATTTAGCACCGTACCATACTGTACAGGTTTGTAGCCTAGGAGCCACAGGCTATACCATATAGCCTAGGTGTTCAGTAGGCTGTACCATCAAGTTTAGTGTAAGTGCACTCTGAGGTATTCACACAACAACAAAATCACCTAACAACGCATTTCTCAGAATGTATCTGTTAAAATGACACATGACTGTACTGGGAACACACACAGCCTATTAGCTCAACAACTAAGAAAAACTGCACCACTTTAAAGACTCTTGGCATTTATTCAATATTCTTCAACATTTACTGAAAACATGCTATGTATGTGCCAGTTACAACACGTGGCAGACAAGCTTTTCTTTATAATATTCATATTTCAGGCCTCCAAAGAAACATCCATCCTTGATCTTGCAATGTGACTTCATTCAAAAAACATTAAACATGTACTAGGTGCTAAATGCAGGACAAATGAACAAAGCCCTGCAGTCGCCTTCTAGGATCTTTCAATCTGTACAGTCAACATTGGTAAAAGAAATCTAGTTTAAGGCAGTGTTTTCCTGAAGCAATTTGCACTGGCTGTTCGTATTTTGTAAAGAAAAAAATGTTTTCCTATGGTAAGTCAGTCTGGGGGACACTGGAGTAAACCAAGTTAAACAGCTTGTTTTCTTTCCTGTGCTTTTAACATGCTGCTATGCCTTATGCAGAGGCAAAGGCAGTGGGGTGGTAGCTCTATTCACACAAAATCCTTCAAACTTCATTGGCTATTCCTTTAACTTGAAAGGTCTCTTAGGGAAATACTAGATTAAGGCAAAATGTGCAAGGTGTCAAAACAGTGCTATAAACAAAGTCTATAAAGATATAGAGGAACTCTGAGAGGCTTTGTGAAGAAAACAACTGAAGCTGAGCCTCTGAAAAAATGAATACAAAAGCACTCCAGAAGGGAAGAAAATAAGCAGGATCTATTCAACGACAAGCTGACCAAACAGGCTAGAAAAGAGTAAAACGGGGATAGAAAGTATAGTAGTCCCCCTTATCCACAGTTTTGCATTCCACGCTTTCAGTTACCCAAGATGAACTGCAATCTGAAAACATTACATGGAAAGTTCCAGAAATAAACAATTCGCAAGTTTTAAATCACATGCTGTTCTGAGTAGCATGATAAAATCTTGCACCTTCTCTGCCATGACCAAGATGTGAGTCATTCCTCTGCCCATCCAGTGAGTCTATGGCTATGCTACCTGCCCATTAGTCACTTAGTAGTCCTCTTGGTTACCAAATCAACTGTCACAGTATCACAGTGCTTGTGCTCAAGTAATGCTTCTTTCACTTAATGGCCCCAAAGCCAAGAGTAGTAATGCTGGCAATTTGGACATGCCAAAGGGAAGCCATAAAATGCTTCCTTTAAGTGAAATGGTGAAATTTCTCAATTCAATGAAGCAAAAAAGTCACAGGCTTTGGACAAAAATTGCAAGATCTATGGTAAGAATGAATCTTTTATCCATGAAGTTGTGAAAAAGGAAAAAGAAATTCAGGCTAGTTTTGCTGTCCCACCTCGAACTGCAAAAGTTACAGCCACAGTACATGATAAGTATTTACATAAGAGGGAAATGGCATTAAATTTGTAGGTGGAAGCCATGAACGGAAATGTGTTCCAACTGATGGCAATCAGGTTTGGTACTAGTCACGATTTCAGCATCCACTGGGGGTCTTGGAGCACATGCGACATGGATAAGGGGGGATTACCATAAGAAACAAGGATGGAAATTTAGACTGGGGCCACACATGGAAGGACTGAGGGCTTTGACAGGACTTGGGCTTGATTTTATGTGTGTCAAGAAGCCACTGAAATCTCTGAACAGATAAATAACTTGATCATCTTTGTGTGCTAAGCAAATTATCCTGGTAGCACCATGTAGAATGGAGTACAGCCTGGGAAGCTAAAGTTAGGGTGACAGTCAGAAAGGTAGAGCTATAAGTAGGCATGCAGAAAGTGGACAACTGGAAAGAGTTATAAGTAGGCATGCAGAAGGTGGACAATGGGAAAGACAGAGCTATAAATAGGCATGCAGAAGGTCGACAATGGGAAAGACAGAATTATTAGTAGTCATGCATAAGAGAATGAAGGGCATTAGCATGGGCGCAGCGGGGATGAAAGAAAACTGCAGAGAGAGAACTGACAGAGCCTGGCAGATCTCAAGATGTGAGAATCAAAGAATATTCTGAGAGATGGGGAGGGCAATGAGATTCTAAACCAAATAGAGGAAATTTCTTTTCCAGACAGAAGGGAGGATGAGTAAAACCATAGGTATAAGAGAGAAAAACTACTGGCATTCACATTCCTAATCTTCTTTGTAAAATAGAAAAGATCACCTCCTGAGAGTAAGGATTTATGAACTCATTCAAAAGTTGAGAAAACAAAGAAAGGTTTGGAACTGACTGATAAAAAAAGAGGTTTGCTGAACTCCCAAGAACTGGGTAATGTTCTCTTTACCCAAGCCAGTTTCCTATTCAGGCAAGATCTGGGCTTAAAGTCTTGTGATTCTGAGTAGTAATTGTTGATGGGCATTCTACTCCATGATACAGTACTTAGACTCATAATTCTTCACATTAACTTCCCCATTAGGTTGAAGAGGAATGCTTTCAAAATTCTATACCCAAGTAGATATATATTAATATATGCCTTAAATTATACAAATTATGCATAGAAGCAAAATATCAAAGCATAAAAGCATCAAAGGATACAAAGAAGTAGACTCAGACTTCTGGCATAGAAGATTAGATACTTAAGTTTATATAGATACTATGAAACATAAACCCCCATGCAGCTTCAGTTCAAAGTAGAAAGATAAAAGATTAGGTGTTGAAGGTGCATCTACAAGGCACTTGCCATCTGCTGCAACCTTATTTAAAAAACCAACCAATTTTTATTACACAGTTATTCTGAGTTCAGTGAAGTACCCAGGAGAGGTTGGGGAGAAATAGAAGACATGATCCTGCTTTCAAAGAGTTATGATCTTGTTCATGAAACTAAAGTATATGGGATAGGATAACAAGAGGCAAAATCAAAAAGGATAATAAAAGCCAAAATATAATTTACAACTAAAATGCGTATTGTGTGATAAAAAGAGAGATCAATTCCAATTTATGTGTTTACCTGCAAACACCTATTTTTTGATTGGGGAGTGTGTCCATGTCTGCATCTTTCAAAGAGCCTCTTCAAAGTTTTCCTCCCCCAGGCGGTCACTCTCTGACCTCCCTCACTTACCTGGATCACACTGTTTGTATATTTCCTGGGTGCAAGGACCCTGTCTTATCCCCAGTACAGTCATGTTGGGTCAACAGCTTGAGGAAAGGCACAGAAGCAGGAATGAGCACCCGGGACAGGTGGACTGAGACCAGCCTGGTTAGAATTGAGAATCTGTGTCAGCAAGCAGTAGAAGCTCGGTTTGGGTTAGCATGATGTGGGTGGACTTAGGCAAGAGCTGAAGGCTAGCCACACAGGTTCATATTTCACGTCTACTCATCACCACTCCCTGAGCAGATCAGGGACAGGAAGTTAATGCTATTTTAGTCTAGAAGTTCTGTGTAGGATGTTTTGACTTGAGGGTATGAAGTGAGGAATTACTGGAGGCAGATTAGTTAAGAGGCTTCTGC